GGGTCGAATTTGTGCCAGCGTTACTGCCTTCTTCAGCACTGAACACGTGCAATATTTGTTATTTGTCCCTCCAAATACCCGTCATGGATTAAAACGATGTTACTGGTACCAGTTGTAAGGTGTATGGCTACTCAAAAGTCCCAAAAGTAATGGGGAAAACGCTGGAGGCTAAGGATGGGTTGTCATTGTTGAGGAGCGCCGCTCTACTCAAAATCCAGCAGTTACAACTAGCGGCACCTCAAGTCCATTTTCTCTGCTGTTTCAGTCTTGTAGTGGCAAGTGGCCCACTATCACGCGCATTGTCCGGCATCCGGTTCCTGAATCGACACTCCCATAGGGCCTAGGTCAGCCATGCCTTCCGGGACCGGTTAATTGATACCAAACTCGTCTGGGAAGTTAAAAGCACTGACTTGCTCATGGGGTGGCCACCTCCAGTCAAAGGCTATATAAGCTTTCAAACGTCACTACGATTCTGAATGGGAGACGAAGGCGGGACACACCCCACAGACGGGATTCCTTAACGCCAAGACCATTTTATCCGGGTGTTATATAGTGAGCTTTGTTAGTAACTCCATTATAGAACTAGTGTATATTCTCCCAATCAATGCACATCATCTCGATGAACTCCAGTTCTGAGGTGCTAATAAACGATTTACATGCTACTGGTGTGTGTTCATGATATGAAACTTCCGCTCCATAGGTTTCGGGCATGGAAAAACGAGTAACTTAAAATCTTTTATTTATTCCAGAATCCTTTTTTTTTAAATCAAACCATCTTTAGACAAAAATGTACAGGCAAATGATGATTCCAACAAAGATATCAGTTGAAGAAAGTCCCGTATTCAACAATATAGGTAGATGAGAAAATATGCAACAGAAACCGTCACTGAAAAATATTGTAAACTTCGGTCATTAGAGATGATGGCCACTTTCCATTCTTTTTGACGTTATGCTGGGAGCTGCTCCACGAGAATGAACTGGTTGGATGATCGAGGTACCAACTTGGTCCATACTCGGCCTAAATCGAAGTTAAAAACTGTCAGCGTGACATACATATGAAGTAGGGTTTATTGATAGAACTCCGAAATAGTAAACCGGTAATCAACGAAAAGTCATCGAAACCTTGAGCTAACGACCTCACAATCCTCATCAGATCCATTTGCTGTTGGTTTGTTATTGTGTTCGAATCGACCAAAAGTTATTAAAAAAACCAACGAGCACTAGATTGCCTGTTATCCGCTCCCGTACTGTTATATATACATATGTACATGTACATATACATACTAAACATATGAGTCTGTATGAACATATGTATGTGTGTACATATATATGTGTGTATGTCGGCAACAGTGACAAGGATGACAGTGGGGAAAAAAACCCAGAACAAATCAAAACATAAGACTCAGTAAGGTACCGTACTTTCTCAGAATATCTAAGTTGTTACCACAATAGTTACTATGGTATCCACTATAAATTCAGAGAAAGTGCGGCATTTTGGCCAGGTATGGCCACTGCTTGAGCACACCAACGAAAGGCATCATTTGAATTCTAGGGTATCTTGATTGTTTCCGAAGATTAAGAGAGCAGAGCGATTTGTAACTACTACTAGCGATGATAGAAATATATATGGATAATGCTCCCGTAAGCAGAAAAAGAAACTTTGTGAACTCACCTCTAAGACTTCCCGTGGATTGCAAGGTACCCAAAAGATATGTCCGAGAAGATCACAAGCGCATGTCTCAATAAGCCTGAAATATAAAAAGAGCTTCCAGCTAAGAAGGAACGCTCGTTGTTCTGAATGTGTCTTTGTACGACTAAAATAGAGCAGTATACGTTGAGAGTGTGTAGAATAACAAGTAAATTCGAGGTATATGAGAATGCACTTTCATGAAAAGTTGCCTATTCTGCTTCTCCATAAGCCCCACGGAAGCAAACATATACAGCGCATAGTGCTACGATTATGTTGGAAGTGTAGGGAGTACATTGTACTACGGGAAGGCATATGAGTTTTCTACAGGATAGTAAACTAGAACATGCTAAAGCGTCAACTTTTGCCGCCCTTCTAAAATGAAGCTACCGAACTCATAGAACTCTTTTGACAGGTCCAAATTGCCTCTACACCACCTTTGCCCTAGAAGCAAGCAACATTCTGGATCGATACTCGCCCAGCCCAACCAAGTCTTCCATATATGGTGTCCTTTGATTACTACCGAACTTGGGCAGCTACTGGCTACCGCAAGTAATATTATAGTATAGCCCACATAAGCATTCAAAACGCACTCCTATTCTGAAAGGGTGTTGGGTGTAGGGCGCATCTCAGCAACTGGACTNATTAACGCTAAAACACCCTTTGTGAGGTATTCAGATCTAAAGGCTACAATATATCAATTCATTTGGTCAGGTCTGGGATTTGTAAGCTTAGCTTATTTTTCTCGACAGTACACATGTGACAAAGCATTGCGTAAGATTACAGAGGGCAGAATTTTTCTTTTCCTCTCTGGTACTTACAAAGGATAGGTGTATTTATATTTGGTTCCATCGCCTGATGTGCCTCCTACCCACGATTCATTGCTCGTAGTGTACACCCAAAATAGATCCACAGTTGGGCGACTTTTATCCATTGGTTTGACAGTGAATTCAAAACTGTCATTTGGCTGAAAATAAAACTCCTTCTGTGATATATTGAGACACAGTGTGCAAAGGTAAGAAAATTACTTTTTTCTGATAGGGATGGTGAACTTTTTGAGCAATTCTTTAAAAATTACAGCAAAAAAGCGTTGTGAAAACGGCTTGAATTGGAATTTCTTCGGTTTTTCGTCCGATACAATGAAATGATGCTTTTCAAGTATTATACTTGAAACTGCTGTGAATGGATAGGACG